CCCCACCCTTAGCCCAGAGCCTTGACCCACTTACTTCCCAGCTCCACCCTCAACCAGGATAACCCTTCTCATCTGCAAGTACACACACAAAAATAATAAAGATTTAAAAACTAAACAAAACAAACAAACAAACAAACAAACAAACCCAACAACAATTCAGGTTAGCAGCAGGATGCAAGCCCTCAATGTAGACAGCTTTTCAAGTGTGACTGCAGTCCTTTTGCCTTTCAGCCTCACAGTTTATGTCAGTGTTAGAAAGTGCCCTTAGTCCTGCCAGTTATACTGTCTTCCCTCAGTCCTCCAGCCAAGCTTGGGTGAAGGCTTCTGGCTTTGGCAGGAAACAATCCCAAGCCAGCTCTGCCTCCTATCTCTGGGTCTCTGCTGAGGCTGCTCTTGTTCTTGTGTAGATCCTGGTCTGACTGGTGCAGGAATCTCTGGCTCAAAACAATGTGCTCTACTTCCTCTTCCTTGATGCTGAGATTCCCAATTTCTGTCGCCGCATCCTCTCAGTTTAAGAGTGAGACTAGCAACTCTCCTTGGGGATAGACCAACACACCTTATTTGCATGATCCTGCCCATACATGTGGGAAAGTCAAAGTTAATGGCTAGGAAAACTATTTTAAACAATAAACCCTTGAAAACACAGGTTTTATTTGTTCATTTGCTTTTAACATATTGAAGAGTTCTTTTGCAACAGCTTGGCCCCATGCAATATCATGGGATATTTTTTTTTAATGAAAGTTTACAGAGACTTAGGGTTTCCAGTCATTCATTGTTGCTCTTTTCTCCCTACCTACCCCATCCCCCCCCCAATTCACTCTTGTCCTTGAAAAGTGAAAGGGAAACTCTTTCATTGTTATACAATCCCTCCCCCTCAAGTCCACTCCACTGTGCAACCTTCATTCTGGACTCCTATCATGACAAAAATACCCAATCATATATCCCTTTTAAACAGTTCTCTCCCTCATCTGTTTCAATGCCATATACATCATAGAATTTCTGGATGGCTGCTTCCTTTGGTGTTGACTGATTGTGGATCCAAGTAAGATTAACTCCTTGACAACTTCAAGTTTTTATCTCTGTATTACGATATTGCAAATTGATCCAGCCATGAAGATTTTTGTTTTCTTTATGTCAAAGCTTAACCCATATTGAAGGCTTTGATCTTCATCAGTAAGCACGTCTAGTGCTCTTTACTTTCAGCAAGCAAAGTTGTACCTCTGCATATTGCAGGTTGCTAATGTGTCTTCCTATAATTCTGATGTCTTATTCTTTAGATAGTTCAGCTTCTCAAATCACTTATTTTACAGATTTAGTAAGTATGATGTAAGGATGCAGTCTTGATACACAGCTTTCTTTATTTTAAATTATGTCATTTTCCATTGTTTTGTTTGAATAACTGCTTCTTGGTCTACATACAGGTTCCATATGAGCACAATTAAGTGCTCTGGAATTCTCATTCTTCACAGTGTTATCCATAATTTGTTACAATCCACATAGTCATGGTGGGAGCCCAGGCTCCAAAATAATTCTCTCATTAAAACATATTTGTCCACTTCTCAACTAACATCTTTCCCTAAATATTGTAACTCTAATTTTGACTAAAACTCTCAAATTTTCATTTCATTTAGTTCATATTTCTTATTTGAGTAAGAAAAAATGTATACATTTTTAAGACTTTTAAAAGTGCTTTAAAAATTTAGCAAGTGTGACATTTCTCATTTTGGGGGAAAGATCAGGAATGGTATTCGAGTCATTCTTTTAAAAAGTTTTATTATTATTATTATTATAAAAGCAAAATGCTGAGGTTGAAACTGTTCATGCCAGTGGCGGGATGAAATGAAAATGGTCACTTTGGAAATGAGCTGCATGTCCACAGATAGTGAGGCAAAGTTGACAATTTTCTGGGTACTATTACCCCATGATGCTATTATCTGGAAGGGATCTTATAAAAATGAGAGTCAAAAGGACCTCAGAAAAAAAATTTATAGAAGGATGACAGACATTGAGAGAGTTAAAGGCAAGGTGTGCACAAAAGCAGCCCATGACAAAAAAGAAGCAGGAATTGTGCATTTACTTAGTCCAAATGTAATAATAAGGTGATCCTCTTGTCCTTCCTTTTCTCTTCATCCCCTGGGTCCTATTCTGATGGAGAAGAGCTAAGAGTATCCTCATGCCCTCTCTATCAGTATAGTCTTCTAGGTTGGAATCAGGCTCAAATAAGAGGGAAGACATTTTAAGACAAAGAAAGTTGTAGTCTGGGTTGTTAAAATAATCTGAAATTTTCAGTAAATAGGAATGTTCTTGTGAGTAAAAAAGACTTGAAAACAAATGGGCCTGTCCTAGGGTCCTGGCCTAAGACCTTTTTTTAGGGTAGAAAGGTCATTGTGTAGGTTTGGCAGACAGTGAGGATAAAGTATGAAGTCTGAATTAATTTTGAGTCCACCTCCTTCAGTAAGCCAGTTACACTTGGTGGAGAAAAGTTTCTTAGCTTAGATGACCTAAGTAAATCTCTTCTCTCTAAAGGAAACAATGAAAGAAAGCACTCCGTACTTAACATTGAGTGCCAGGGAAGCACATTCCTTTCTGATCTTAAAGACTCATGTGAGGAATATGATGTCCTACCTTATGACACCAGTGCAGGTATAATTTGTTCCCTTCCCAAATCAATAAAAATCCGAGAATCTGTAAAAAAGGAAAGAGGACATAATTTTGAAATCATCAAGTTGCTGCTCTAGGCACTGTTCTGTAGTGTATGATTCCTTTCAAGGTTTGATATGATAGTTACTTTTTAGCCTCTGCGACTTTGCCATGTTGTTCTTCGGCCTGAAAAGCTCATTCTCCCTCTTCCATTCATCCTTCAAATCCAGGTCAAACATCAACTTCTATCTTTAACTTTTATCAGCTCCCCCAAGAAGAATTAATTATCACTCTCCTGGTCTCTTGGGTTTGATAACAGTCACCACAGTAATATCCTTTCTGAATTCCTGCCAATGATTTTCTCCTGAATTGGACTTTATTCCTATTATTACTCAAATCAGCTTGTGAGAGGACCAGGGTTAGAGGGTAATGGTTCTGAGTGATTTTTAGAAGCTGTTTCTTGGGGAACTGCTATATAAAACTACAACCACAACTACCATTGCTGTTAACACTAGTACATATTCAATAAATCTTAGTTGGCGTAAATCTAGCCAGTTACTAAAGCTAGTGCACACATGAAAACCGGACTATTCCTCAGATGTCAAATACATTGATGATAGCCTGAGTATACAAAGCATTTTATGTTTTTACTAAAACAATATCACAGAATGTTTCCTTTTTCTTTAGCAAGTCCTATGAAATATCATCTTTATTAAGTAATAACTTTTACTTAAAAGGAAGAAATGGAGACTCAAAAGAGTTAATTAATTTGATCTAGCCTACTGTGGAACTTAAAAGACAGAACAGTAAATAAACCCTGGCTTCCTGCCTTTTTTATTATTGTTGTCATTGTAGATGGTTATTTATTTCATGAAGTTTTTAGTTAGTTATTTCATAAAGAGTTATTGCAAAGTGGAAAGTCTGTACTAATAAAAACAGTGATGTATTGGACACTAGGATTTATTCCCTCCTAAGAAGTTAACCATACCATTTCATGTTTATTTTCTATAAAGTCAGTGGCCAGGGATTGGCCTAGAACATGCCCTTCATCAACATTCTCCCTACTAAATAATTCGTATTATACAAAAATGATATAAAGCATGGCTTATAAAACTAGCCACCTTCCACATTACAATTTCCAGAAGAATTTTCCTAAAATAAAAATCTGATTTATACCTAAAGTCCTAGTCTTGCCTGCGAGATTTTGAAAAAAAAATCTGTTACAAGTATGCCTATTAAGTGATGCTTCATATTATTATTCTTAATATCCTATCTACTAAAAAATGGCCTTTCTTGCTTCTAGATATACTTCCTATTTTCCCCCGTGTCACTACCTTTGTTATGATGTTGTTTCAATCTTAAATGTTCTTTCCTCTTTCAATAACTGGAGTGCAACTTCAACATTTCTTTTAAGATCATAATCTAGTACCACCTCTAGTAAGAAATACTACTTTACAACCTTGACTGGAAGTTACTTCTTCCTTCTTGAACCCCTACAGAAGTTTATTTTGGTTCTCCAACAACAAAGCCTGTGTAGTCCATCAGGTGAAATCCATACACATATAATCACTATTTATGGGATTTTTAAAAAAGTATTCTCAATGAATAAATAATTCATTGTACAGTATTCTATCATTTGACCTCTGGCCTCATTTCTGTCACTATGGCCCTATTTTTCAATTATTAGCCTTCCTTCTTAGCTTCCAACTTTTGCATTCCACTCACCAATTATTAGTAATGCTCTTTTAAATTGCATGTCCTACCAATTTCAGACTGCAAAAGTCGATAGGTCATCATTTTCTTCATCTTTACCTTTCAAAACAAGGCAGAAGGGTAACCGTTGAATAGACCATCAATTACTCAAATATAAGTTCAAAATGAAGCTTAAGAAAATGAAAACAAGTCCACAAGAACCAAAACATGATCTTGAGTGTGTCCCAATTGAATTTAAAAACCATTTTAAGAATAGATTTGATGCATAAAACACTAAAGATTGAAGATCAGATGAGTTGTGGAATGACATTGAGGACATTACCCATGAAGAAAGAAAAGTTATTACAAAGACAGGGAAGAAAGAAAAGACCAAGGTGGATGTCTGAAGAAACTCTGAAACTTGCATTGAAATAGAAAGAAGCCAAAATAAGGAGAAGATTTACTGAGGTAAGAGAGTTGAACAGATTTCAAAAGGCAGCTCAAGAAGACTAAGCTAAGTATTATAATCAAATGTGAAAGGAGCTGGACTTAGAAAACCAAAAGGTTATATATTTTCTAACAGAACAAGAAGGCAAGCAGCCTTAACCCAAGACCACCAGTAAGGTGATAAAGTGTCCTCCCTTTCCCCCTTC